TTTAGCAGATAATGTTACTATATTTTCATAACATGCTTTTTATTAAAGAAGTCAATGATAAGCTGGTGCCAGTGGCTCATGCCTGAACTCAGGAGGCTGAGATCTGAGGATCATAGTTTGAAGCCAGCCTAGGCAGGAATGTCTGTGAGACTCTTTTTACCAAACTACCAAAAAAGTCAAAAGTGGAGCTGTGGCTCAAGTGGTAGAATGCTAGCATTGAGCAAAAGAAGCTCATGGACAGTGCCCAGGCCCTGAGTTCAAGTCCCAGGTCATGCATAAAAGAAAAGAAAGTCCACGACACTTTCTCCATGAAGTCAGTGATCTCCTCTTTCCCCTCCCTCCCTCCCTCCCACCCTTTTATGGTGCTGGGGATCAAATCCAAGGTCCTGCCAGTGCTAGGCAAGCACACTACCAATAAGTCACATCCTCAGCCCAATCTTTTTATTTTTGTGCTCTTTCTCTCACCCATTGAAAGACATACAATAAGTAAGGAACTTTTATTAAATGAGATGAATTATAGTTGAGGACATGTTTTCCTGACTAGCTTTTTGGAAAATTTTGCATTTCATTAAGCCAGCCTAGAGGTACAGTATATTAGCAAAATCATCTGTACTACCAACTTCATGGCAAATTTACCTCATGTACTTTTTCTTTTCTTTTTTCTTTTTTTTGCCAGTCGTGGGGCCTGAACTCTGGGCCTGGGTAATGTCCCCAGCGTTTCAGGTCAAGATTAGTATTCTACCACTTGAGCCACAGCGCCACTTCTGGCCTTTTCTGCTTATGTAGTGCTGAGGAATTGAAGCCAGGGCCTCATGCATGCAAGGCAAGCATTCTACCACTGAGCCACCTTCCCAGCCCTACATTCTTTTCTTTTCCTGTCTTGTCTTCTCTCTTTTCTCTTTTCTTTTCTTTTCTTTTCCTGTCTTGTCTTCTCTCTTTTCTTTTCTTTTCTTTTCCTGTCTTGTCTTCTCTCTTTTCTCTTTTCTTTTCTTTTCTGTTGTGGCACTTGCACTCTGGGCCTGAGCTCTGTCCCTGAGCTCTTCAGCTCAAGGCTAGTGCTCTACCACTTCAGCCACAAGGCCACTTCCAATTTTCTGGTGGTTAATTAGAGATGAGTCTCATAGATTTTCCTGCATGGCTTTGAATCACGATCCTCAGGTCTCAGCCTCCTGCCCGAGTAGCGAGGACAGGCCTGAGCAACTGGAGCCTGGCCCACATGTAATTTTCCTAATAGAGTCTGGTCCATCCCCCTAAACTCTAATCTTGACTGTTTTCTGTGTATATGCAGTAAGTTGCTGATAGAGAAATATATTTTGTTTCATGTCAATTATTATATTCTTATTATGATGAGACCAAGTCTTTCCTCATGCATGGTATATCTTTTCTTTGCACTATTTAAGAAACTAGGCATATAATCATATGTGATTAAATTCAGTGAAAAATTTCAAAGTACTGAATTGAAAATCACTGACTTAAAACTTGCTGGTGAGAAAAAGATAAACCCTACAACCTCTGGAGATACATATTTCAGTAACTTAGTAGTTATGACTTTTACTGTTTATGTTAATCTTTCAGTCTTAATTTATATAGTGCTTATTGTTGATAGTAGATGTAAATGTGTATTTCACTTATCTAGGTTATTTTTGTTTTTTTACATCTGACTAGCTTTTACTGGTAGTAGAGAGGATATACTAGAAGGAAAGGATATACTAGAAGATAATAGAAAGGAGGCACATTTGTATTATTTATTTGTTGTGCTTGAATTACTAATATCTCCTATATCTGTTTTGTTATAGATTATTTAAAGGCCCTCCTTTGCTTTCTGAGGACTAAGACATTAAATTAGGTTATTTCTATGAAACTATGTAACCAGGCCTACATACTATGTGACATGCTGAAACAAGTCTAGGAGATGCCATTATTAACTCACATGGTAGAATACTTCTCTTCCTTTAGGCTGCGTTCATCTGACTGACTGACTGACTGAGCCCTAGTGATGGGTTCAGCTATTTTTATTTGTATTTCTTGTGTCTGTACTGGGGCTTCAACTCAGGGCCTGGGTGCCATCCCTGAGCTTTTTTTGCTCAAGTTTAGAGCTCTACCACTTGCCACAGCTCTAATTCGGGTTTTTGGTGGTTAATTGGAGATAAGAATCTCATGGACTTTACTGTGCAGGCTGGCTTTTAACTGTGATCCTCAGATCTCAGCCTCCTCAGCAGCTAGGATTACATGTATGAGATACCTGTGGCTTATTTTGCTTGGCTTTTTACTCTCCTGGCACCCTGCCACTTGAGCTACATCTCTACTTCCACCCTTGTGGGAGTTTCTACCTTCTCTTTCCATACAATATCAGAACTTAGTTTTCATTCTTTATTATCTAATGTTTTTATTATTATTATTATTAGTAGTAGTAGTAGTAGTCGTTGTCGTCGCCGTCAGCTTGAACTCAGGGCTTGGGCACTGTCCCTGAGCTTCTTTTGCTCAAGGCTACCACTCTACCACTTGAGCCACAACATTACTTCTGGCTTTTTCTGTTTATGTTGTACAGAGCTTCATGCATGCCAGGCAAACACTCTACCACTAAGCCACAATTCCCAGCCCTCTAATGTATTTATATCTTGACTAAGATGGTTAAATTTTTTTGTGAAGGGGAGGAGCTATTAAATCTGGTAGCTGTATGTAAGCTATATTTATTTAGAGGAGCAGATTGTAGGAAACAGTGTAATGTTTTTCCAGGAGGAGACATGTTTTTCCAGGCAGGCGTGCAGACAGGCAGACCGATAGGCAGACAGGCAGATACAGATACACACACAGCCATAAACTGAACTTAAGCAAGACTAGAGGGACTATGAAGTACTAATATGGTTTTTAATTTGAAAATATGGTTCTGGCTGAAGACGGTGATAGTTCAGTGATTTCATTTAACTAGACCCCTTGTTTCTGTTGTTTTATTGTTGTTGTTTGTTTTGGTGGGGTGGGGTTATGCTTCAGTAACTCTCTGAAGAATGGTCTACATTTGTAACCCATTTTAGATTTAAAAGATTTCCATCAGTTGCCTGTACCCTTTCAAAGAGGAAGTAGTTTTATTTTCTCCATAGCTGTGAAACTATCCTCTTCCATTCTTTGTGTGTGTACCTTTTCACTAGCTCTTCTCCATGCTTAGAATGAAACTGAACTTTTCTTATCTACTGTCTTTGGAAGCCTTTGTGGCTTAGCCTTATTAAAAGCTTCCTACTCTGTTATCTTAAAGTAAGTTTAATTGTTTTATGACATTGTGTATATTTATCAATAATGGTTGGTTAGTTTTTATTTTCTTTGTGTCATTAACCCATTATTCTTCCTGGAAACTGCAAGGTATTAAGCTTACAAAGGTATTGTGAATTTTTAGTAGATAGGATACATCTTGTTCTTACTATATTTTAATAATGGGATATCTTTATTTTTTTAATATGAAAAAGTTAAGAGTGAGGTAAAGAGCAAAGCAGGACCTAGTTAAGGCAATCACAAAGTGGCAGTAAAACTTGGTGGCTAGTCATTTCAAAGCCAGCAGGTTTTCCTCCGCCTGACAGCATTAACACAAACTTCTTTGATAAGTCCCCCTTCCCCCAACAAACAAGCAATTTCCCATCCATTTCAGTATCCAAGGTCAATTCAGCTCTGAAACTACTTAGACCCCCACAGTCTCAAAGACTGCTTTCTTCCCTTCAGATGCTAATCACAAGCTTCAGATTGTTTTACCTGTTTTGCTTAGAATAGATGAGGTATAAACCAGAGCTCCTTTAGCCCTTCCTCAAGATCCATTAAATTGCTAGAGCAGCTCGCAGAACTGTGGGAAACAGTTATGTTTACTGGTTTATTTTAAAGGATATTACAGAGAGTACTAATGAGCACCAGATGAGTAGGGCATCCTAGGGGAGAAGGGCTTTGGGGGTTCCATGTTCCCATGGGTATATCACACCATCCTGGAACCTCTCCCCTTCTTGGGTTCATCTGGATGCTGGTCCCTGAGCTTTTTTGCTCACAGCTAGTGCTCTACCACTTGAACCATAGTTCTGCTTCCTGCTTTTTGGTGGTTAATTGGAGATACAAGTTGCAAGGACTTTCCTATGCTGGCTGATTTCAAACTACAACCCTCAGATCGCAGCTTCCTGATAAGCTAGGATTATAAGCATGAGCCATTGGCACCCAGCCACCTTTTGTGTTTCTGTAGATGCTTCATTACATAGGTTTGATTGATTAAATCATTGTTCATTTATAATCAATTTGACTTTCACCTCCCTCTCTTCTTCAAAGAAAACCTCTAATCCTTCCTTGTTATTTCTGGTGACCAGCCTGCATCCTGAAGCTACCTTGGAGTTGCTTCTCCTCACTTAACTTATTAGCATATAAAAAGACACACCACTTAGACCATTGTAAGGATTTTAGAAAACATATGCCAAGAAAACAGGAATGAAGACCAAATATTTATTTCACAATATCAAAGCCAATCTGTTTATTTGTATGCATTTTATTTTATTAATAGGAATAAGCATTAGAAACTGGAACTTGTTTTCAATTTAATGACTTCCATGTAGTTAAATGGTTCAGTAATAGTACATAATAACACCAAGAGGACATTGTTTGAAGGAAATTCTGGCCAGTGACTTCAGTGTATGGTAGAATCCAGCTTTCATTTAATCCATGTGGAATAGTTGTCATTTAGAGATGAACTGACACCTAGCAAGTTATTTACCTTTTTTGAGGAAAACAAAAACTGAATACATAATTGAGTCAGAGATTTGTGGGGCTTTACTAACTATTGAGATCTCTATAGTGAGGGCTAATGCTTGTACTTTTCATTCATAGGATTCACATTTGAAATGGCAGTATTTCATAGCAGTAGTAGTAGCAGCAACAGCTTTGTTTTTCTTAGTCGTGGCAGCCAGTTAACACTGTACTAGTGGCTTAACAGACCAACACTTAAGTCCTTATTTTTTTTTGTTTTTGTTTTTGTTTTTAAGTCATTGAAATTATGAGACTATCATTCAAATGGAAGCATTATAGTTCTTCGGAACCATTATGATCTCAAAAGAAAAGGAGAATGATACAGATATTCTGGCTGAGGTGTTTTGAGGTGCATCGAAGTGTTCCAAGCTGTGACTTACCTTAACATGTTCTTGAAGTACCATGGCGTGGATTAAAAGGTATGCTTTTAGAAATCTCCCAGTGACCCAAGGTCATGGATAGAATCAGCACTCATAATTCTGTACTTAGTTATTGCATATTTTGATACTCTAGTATTTAGATTGCAGAAATGATTATGAATTTATAGTAGGTTTTCTTTTGTTACTAAAACCTTATAATTGGCTTTTTTTCCTTTTTGAGATAAGGTTATAGGAGATGCAAGGGTAGATATTTTCCATAAGTTTTAATGGTAATGGGCTATAATATCTTTTACCAAATAGTTCAGCCATTATTCAAGTGTTAGTCTATATGTAATTATCTTTCTGCTTTACATCATAGACTAGCTTTTTTCTGTCATTTCATGGTAGTTTAAATAGGAAACATTTGGTTACATTTTTAGTTGGATTCTTTGACCAAATAAAAACATTTCTAGGCATTTATAATACAGTTTTACTCTTTTTAAAGAAATTTTGCTTGGAGGAAAATGATTTTTAAATACAAATATTATGACTTCTTTTCATATATATTCATATATGAATATGTGTTAATCATATACTTATGGTATGTAGTTTCACTGTTATTTGTTAGTAGTAGTAATTTTGGGCTTTATAATACCCATTTAGCCACCAAAAATCTTTTAAGGTTTTTATGTTTATAAAATTGTATTTGTAATGTAATCAAAAGTATTTGATTATATTTGTACTAGGTGATTGCTACCAAGTTTTTATATTTTAAAGTTTTATTTTAAGTAGTTGTACAGAAGGATTTCACTTTAACAAGTAAACTTTAAAAAAAATGTGTTAGAAGGCTGGGTGCCGCGGTGGCTCACACCTGTAATCCTAGCTACTCAGGAGGCTGAGATCTGAGGATCACAGTTCAAAGCCAGCCCCGCTTTGTGGCTCAAGTGGTAGAGTGCTTGCCTTGAGCTGAAGAGCACAAGGACAGCACTCAGGCCCAGAGTTCAAACCCCATGAATGACCAAAAAAAGTGTTATGAGTGAGACAACCCAGATATGTTGAATTTATTAATGTTATAAAGTTCAGAATTCTGTCATTTTCCTCCTCCTCCTCCTCCTCCTCCTCCTCCTCCTCCTCCTCCTCCTCCTCCTCCTCCTCCTCTTCCTCCCCCCCCCCTCCTTCTCCTTCTTTCCTTCTCCTTCCTTTTCTTCTTCTGTTCTAATGTTGGCTTTTTTGTTAGTTAATTGGAGATAGAGCCTCACAAACTTTGAACTGTGATCCTCAGATCTCATACCTCCTGATTACAGGCATGAGCCACTAGTGCCTGACAGAATGCTTTATCCTTTAGAAAATGAATGGACATGTGTTGGGAAGATAGAGAGGTTAAAGTCATGAGCTGAAAAATTGGCTAGAAATATACCGGTAAAGTCCATTATATTAACCAGGCTACCATATGCCATTAAAACAGTTAAATTTTTAATGGAGTTAAAGCTAAGAGAAAAATATTGAATATTAAAATATTATCTTCTAAGAAAGTCAGCTACTACTAACCATTCATCTCAACCCAGAATTTTATGTGTGATGACATAATAGATTTTATCCTCCAAAAAAGAGTTCCTCAAACATAATTATTTCATGATAGCATTCAATGTGTTGTTTACAAGATATATTTCTCCGTATTATACTTAACTACTTCAGATTAATTTTTTTTTTTTCTGGAGTAGCATTGTGCCTTCATTTATTTTGTTTAAAATTTGCAGAGTATTTTGATACATAGGCAAACTTAGAAACTTCTTTTTTTTTTTTTTTTTGCTGGTCCTGGAGCTTGAACTCTGGGCCTAGGCAGTGTCCCTGACCTACTTTTCTCAAAGCTAGCACTTTTATCACTTCAGCCTAGCACCACTTCCAGCTTTTTCTGAGTAGTTGATTGGAAATAAGAGTCTTATGGACTTTCCTGCCCTGGCTGGTTTCAAACTGACCTTTAGATCTCTATCACTGGCACCTGGCTAGAAACAAACTTCTGTTCTTGGAAGAACATGTTTCATTTTTTTATATTTACCATTTATTTTGTTATCTTGACAGGCTGTGAGAATGGTCTGGAAAAAAGTATAGACTTACATATGAAGTATGTGATAGCATAAGCATGTTATTAGATAATTGTATAATATTATATATTTATATTATGTCATAATACAGTTATGAGGGGCTGGGCATGTAGGAACCAAAAATTGATTTGACAGGGATAGTGATGACTATTAAGTGCCAAATCAGGATGTGCCAAGTTTAAGTTTTATTTTACGTTTGCCTACTGTGAGTCTTCCTCTTTCTTCTTGTAGTAGAGTGTCTGTCCTCTCAGCTATGCGGGAGGCAAAGTGAGATTGCAATACTAGCTGGCCAAAACCTTGAGCCTCTTTTTGAAAAATAACTAAAACAAAAAGAGGCTCAAGTTATAGAGCATACCTACCTAAGTTCAAACTCCAGTACTGTTGCACATAGGCACACACACTTGCACATGTGCACTAGTGCAGCTATTGATTGAAATATTGTATGTGTGTGTGAGAGAGAGCATGAGCATGAGAGAGAGAGAAGAGAGCGAGCGAGAACGAGCACGCAAGCGCGAGCACGAGCATGAGTGTGAGCTGGTGGGCTTGAGCTCAGGGCTTGGGCTCTGTCCCTGAGCTCTTTTCACTCTCTACCACTTTGAGCCACGGTATTACTTTCAGTTTTCTGATGGTTAATAAGCCTGAACTGGCTTTGAACTGTGATCCTCAGTTCTCAGCCTCCTGACTAGCTAGGATTATAAGTGTGAGGTAGGTGTGAGGTACCCGCATCCAACTAAAGATTTTTGTTGTTGGTGGTGATGGTCATGGGGCTTGAATTCAGGGCCTGCCTAAGTGCTTCCCTGAGCTTTTTTGTTCAAGAGTAGCGCTCTGCCACTTTGAGCCACAGCACCACTGATGGAAATCGTTTTTGTTTTACCATAGACATAGGCTTCCTCAGAGATGAAATTAGTGTTAACATGGTGTTTTGCTTGTTAAAATAACCAGGATAGATTCTAGTGTATGGCTTCTAATAACATCACTTTTAAAAGTTCAGCTTCCATGTCTTGTTTTGATTTTTGTTTCATTTTTTTGTATGTGTCTACTTTGTTTGCCTTGGAAAATATATAAAAGTGCATCATTAGTAAGATACTTGTCAAACATTTAAACATTAAGGTTTCTGTTTTTGTAAGGATTCTGGTGACATTTAAACTTTTTTTTTTTTTTTGGAAGTATCTATGCCTAGTATAATATCCTTATAACAAGAGATAATTTGCAGATATTTGCAGATGGTCAGAGTTTCTGATGAGTGTTTTTTTTGGTCGGTCGTGGGGCCTGAACTCTGGGCCTGGGTGCTGTCCCCAGTGTTTCAGGTCAGTATTAGTATTCTACCACTTGAGCCACAGCGCCACTTCTGGCCTTTTCTGCTTATGTGGTGCTGAGGAATTGAAGCCAGGGCCTCATGCATGCAAGGCAAGCACACTACCACTGAGCCACCTTCCCAGCCCCCTGAGTGTGTTTTTAAAAAAATATTATTTAGCCGGGCGCTGGTGGCTCACGCCTATAATCCTAGCTACTCAGGAGGCTGAGATCTGAGGATCGCGGTTCAAAGCCAGCCCGGGCAGGAGAGACCGTGAGACTCCTATCTCCAATAAACCACCAGAAAACCGGAAGTGGCACTGTAGCTCAAGTGGTAGAGCGCTCGCCTTGAGCTGAAGAGCTGAGGGACAGCGCCCAGGCCCAGAGTTCAAGCCCCATGACCGACCAAAAAAAAATATTATTTATTGTTATTTTTACAATGTTAAACAAAGGGGTTATTTCATAAGTCAGGTTATAAGTACAATTCTTCTTTTCTTTTCTTTCTTTCTTTTTTTTTTTCATTCTGGGCTTGGGTGCTGTCCCTGATCTCTCTCCTTTTGTTTAAGGCCAGCACGCTGCAGCTATAGTGCCACTTCCAGCTTTTTCTGTGATTAATTGGAGATGAGAATCTCAGAGAGATTTTCCTTCCCAGGCTGGCTTTGAGCTTGATCTTCAGATCTCAGCCTCCTTGAAGAGCTAGAATTACAGGTGTGAGCCACCAGTGCCCAGCTGATGAGTACAGTTGTTTTTGGACAATGTCACTCCTTCCTTCATTTTCCTTAGTTTCTTCCTCCTATCTCTGCCCACAAGCTACATAGTTCATTTTTCACATAGTATATATATTGAATACCATGACTACATTTGTTCACTCTTCTTCCCTCCATTTCTGCACCCTCTGGTGAATATTTTTAAATATATAAGGCTTCATAATAGGGCATTGTCAGCATACATATGTTTTAAGATTGTGTCTAATATACAGTTACTTCTTCGCTAAAAAGCAGTAAGAGAATGAAGACTGCTGGTAAATTGTTTCATAGGAACAGAATTTGTGTAATTGTTTTCTAAACTTAGGAGTTGAAAAAAATGCAAGAATCCTTTGGCAAAGAGGATAGCAAAAGATAATAAGCATAATTCATTTGTCTCGGCCGAAGTTCTTGGAAAGGATCAAGAAGATCTTATTTCCTTCTCTGATATATTCCTTAGAAGTTATATTTTGAATAATAGAAGATAAAGTAATAACCAGTCAGTCATGTGGATTTGGGGTATGGAAGAATTGAATTCCTTTATCATCTTTGCTTCTCCAGGGTCACCCCTCCCTCAACTGCCAGCTGTCCCTTGTCTTTTCCCAGATTTCTAATTCTTGATATTCTTTTCAGTAGCATTGTTTTGTTTTTCATAATTAAGAGCACTAAGTACTTCGTTCTTTATTTTCCTCTCTCTTCTGATCCTGGACCTTGAGTCTCTTTGTGATCAAAGCTAGTTAGTGCTCTACTACTGGAGCTACAGCCACTTTTCGCTTTCTGTGAATAGTTTATTGGAAATAAGAGTCAGGTAAGAGTCTCATGGACTTTCCCTGCCCAGGCTGGCTTTGCAGTGATCCTCAAATCTCAGTCTCCTGAGTAGCTAGGATTACAGGTGTGAGCAACTGGTGCCCAGCTCATTTTT